CTGCGCAAAGGGCATTTTGAGTTTTACATTGCCACATAGGTGAAGGTTTGCATTGGGACCACAGGGACTTGTCCCTACCAAAATTTTGGACCAACCTACTAGGCCCTACCAATAATTCCATGTGAACAACATTTATATAATTTACAATACAGCGTTGTTGCAGCAGTCGCTTCTTTTCCTCTCCCAGTTCCGCTGCCTGGTAGCTGCTGCTCTGTCCAAGTGCCTGCCTGGTCTATCCTGTTCCTTTAACTTAGCAGCGCATGTGACTGTGCTGCGCTGTTTACCTCCACTCTCATTGTTTGTTCTGCCTTAACCTTCTCTCATCCTGATTGGCTGTTTTCTAGATTGTATGCGTGTACATGCATGCTTACAGCTCAAAATTAAAATCTTATTCATGCTAGAATACCGCAGTTACTACAGTTAATATTAGGCTGAGAAAAAAGTCCCAATAAAAAAAAAAAAAGATATTATCTATGCTAAAACAGTTGAAAGCAGCTGATTGCAGTTCTGTAAAGAAGCAGGAGAGAGTTTTTTGATTTGTGGAACCAAACTTAGCATCTTAAAATAATATTTAATTCTGAAGTATTATACATTTTATTAACAAAAACCTTTATAGTATTTTGAGTCAGACAGGAGTTCTACAGACTGCTGGAAGAATGGACAAGCAAAAAGCCATCAAAAATTCCAATTCCTGGCCACAGCCGACTGAGAAAGAAAAATTGAGGGTGTCCCTTTTACCAGTATTTCTTTGCTATTTACTTTTTTATTTTTTATGACCCTTCGAGGCAGTTCAGTTATAAATAGCAGGTGTTATTTCTTTTATAGAGTATAACAACACAAGATGGCGCCTGGAATGGGCCAAACAGAGTACACGTAACTACAGCCCAAATTTACAGCTTTTTTAGTGAAGTTATTATTTTAAATGCTCATGTCAAGCATAAAAAAGAGCATGCATATTTTTGCATAGGATCAATGACATCAGACCAATGAAACTTGAGACTTATAGTGTGCCTACCAAAGTTGAAAAGAAACATACGCCTTTGCTTTCTTACTTAAAAATGTGTTAAAATAGCATTTTCCTGCTCATTAAAGCAGATAAATTGGAGCTTCTCTCTCAATTGCTACTCACATTGAGCGTCCAGAGTATCGATTGTTGAACATTTAGAGCATCTGACTTCAAAATGCACAAGTGTCAAAGTTTAGGCAATTGAATGCTTTTTTGACTCTCAAAATGTGTTAGGTGTGATTGTTGTGAACTTGGCCTTTTTCTGTGGAGAAACCTCATTCTTCATAATAATCGCTGTAAAAGTCCTCTTGTTCTGTGATGGCCTCAGAGGTTTGCCCCTACACCCATAGTCAAAGAAATATAGCAGACAGGTCAAGTATTATACAATACTCTTGCAATGTGCTGCAAAATATCATAGAGAACTTCTCAATCCATAATACAATATTAGCTAAACTGACTGCAATGTTCCCCGAGAGTATCATCAAATTCATTATCTTCAAATGGAAACCACAACAGCCAGCCATTGAAGCAGGGTGAGGATGGCTTTAATCATAGAGACAGAGCAGAGGTTGCACTCTATTGGACCCTAATAAGTCACATTTAGATATAGATCTGATATTTATATTGGATTAGTGGAAGATTGTGCAGAAACAATCTCTTGTCAAAAAATGATAGAGCATTTCGACCATTTCAAATTTGCTATAAGACATTCACAAAATGTATGGGGGAAGGTGCTCAATTGAGACAAAAATTGAATTTTTAAGGCACTAAGGAAAACACTGTCTCTGGCCGAGCAATAGAATATCTCTGTATCGATCTACCTGAGAGAGATTGCTGCGTATGTATAACTTTCAACAGGATAATAACACGTAAAATACACAATACTGATAAAAAACACCCTCAAAGGAAAAAAATCAAAAACGTGTTAGAATGGCAAAATCAAGGTTTAGTCTTCAATCAAATTTACTATCCCCTAATTGAAGTCATTCCATTTAAATCCCTCCTGCAAAATGCGACAATCTTAAAGAGTCTTATGCAAAGTCACACAGCAGCTGTTATTGCAAGCTGGCCTTTACAAAGTACAGACTTTAGGAGGAGCTGAGCAGTTATTCATCCTAAGTTTTGTTTGTTTGTTATGTCCAAAGTATAGTTTGTTTTGCAATAATGAACATAGTACATTTTTAAAGCAGTAAACACACTCTAAACTAAATTATGCAAAGTAATATATTGTCAGTGAAGGTTCTTTACCCTTTTCAAAGGATTGCTTTCAAGTCTTACAGTATTTTGAAAAAAATTAATGTTTGGAAAAGAGTTTCTTGTGCACGAAATGCATTTTGCAATCATGTTATGTATCTGTATTTTTTGTTTAAATTTTTGAAAAAAAAGAACTTGTGTATAGCTTCTGTGTAATGATCTTAGCGCTGATGACTGGCCTGTTTCAATTACCTGCCTAGCTTTGCCCAATTTCTCATTACTGTTCATCTGATTAACCTGATCCAGCCTCTTTAGATTATTCAAGCCTTTGGTGAGAGTTCTCCAGCATATCTGAGTGTGTCTGATTGCCTGATCCTGAACCGTTCTGCCTCTGGAACTCTAAGCCTGCCTTTCCCCATTCTTATCTGTTTGCCTGTCCTCGGGCTCCTGTTGGACTCTCCCTGTGTATTGACCATTGGAGCTAATTCCTCACACCGTCTTGGATCACCTTTCAGTACCTCTTCTTACCTCGGATCTCCTGGCTCTGACTCCTGAGCATGTCCTAAACACTTTAGCTTCGCCTTCCTGATTATCCTCCCTTCCTTCTTTTTTTTCAGCTTTGATCTCCTGCCTGTTCTTTGACCTCTGGGACTTCAGCGTCTCGGACTATCTAGACAGTGCCCACCATGTCTTGTTGGCAGCCGAGCGGCTTAAACCAACCTCGTCCTCTTGGCATGGACAGAACTTTAAGACCAGGTAAATGAGTCACATGTTCATTGTCATCCTCCGCCAGACAGACCTGTGCTTTCTCCCTACTGAGGTTGCTGCCTTAGATGATGTTAACAGCAGATCCTTTTTTCTAAATTGCCTAATTTTGGTCAAATAAATACAGTTGGACCTCTGTTTGAAAATCTTAAACAATCAATCTCAATTCCATGTTGTCAAGCAACAAAACATACAAAATGCCAATGGTGATGAATACTATTGTAAGACATTGCATGTGGTCTAAAGAAATTTACCAGACACAGCAGGTGGCTAATAATTCTTAACCTTTAATTTTGAGTAAACTGGCCCGTATTCCAGCTGTTTAATCAAGCTGGAATACATTTATTATTTGTAAAATGTAAAATTTTAATTACCTTTCCTTTTCAAAGCGGAAATTTATATAAAACGGTATGGATAATGTATATAAAAAAGCACTTTGTGGTTTGATGTTTTTTTGCTTTGTGAAAACACAAAATCAGATGCTGAAACAGTTCATATATCTGCTGGGACAGAACCAAAAAGCATGAGAGATTTAATGATAAGGTGCAGGAGTCTGTTAAAACAAAATAAAACCATTGTAAACTTCAAGCCATTGGTTTTATATTTATTTTTTTTATTGGGAGATATTTTTAGATTTATTTATTTATATATATATATATTGAATAATGTATTTTATATTCCACTCTGGACAATACTGGTGGTACCTCTCGTTTAGTGGAACAAAAATCCACAGTGGTCAGAGATATACCAGGAATGTGTCAAACATTTTCAAACAGCTCGTTTTGAGTGCAAAGAGGTGGAGAAAGGAAATGAGAGAGCTAAAATGTTACTTTTCTATTTCTGAACCTTATAGATTAGCCTCATGAGTCATGTCACACGACAGTTACAAATTGTTTATAAAGTGAATTTTGGCATAATATTTTATCTTTGACATGGACCAGAGGACGCAAATGAAGAAATTGTCTCAGTAGGTTTTTTTTTATTTTTATTCTAAACAAGCATTTTAAAGGCATATGTATATATATATAGATATATATCTATATATATCTATATATATATAGATATATCTATATATATCTGTATATATGTATATATAAACATATTTTGTAAGATCTGTATGATCCTCTTTCTGTTTTCTATTTTCCAGACTGAATGATGATAAACTGCAAATGGATCAATTTGGTGGTACTTTTTCAAGTCTTGGTTGATTTGATAACTTAATACAAAGTGAATTAACCAGTAGACAACATACTCCAGCGGACGGATATGTTCTTGTCACAACCTGGCTGTAGGATAGCAGCAAAAAAAATTAAGGAAAAGGACACAAGAACTTAAATTATATATGTTTATTTTAAAGATGCTGAAATAAGCTATTTATATCAAGGAAATCAAACTGGTTGAAAAAAAAAATTAATTTGGCAAGACCAAAACCCAAGGAAAAGAATAAAAAAGGTTATATTTATTGAAATAGTCTACATGTTAAAAAACAGAAAATTTAGCCAGATAGACCAGATCACATATCCCCATTTACTTTTTGCAATGGAATTTTAAAAGTTTGTTTTATAAATGCCACACAACATATTTCTTTTGAAATTACCTTGAGCCCCAGAAGGTGATATCCGATATTATACTCTGGCCTCAACCCGCATTCTGAATTGAGACACTTTATGAAGTCTGTTGCAGAAGTTCCACATTTACAGATTTTCATACAAAACTTTAAACAAGTATTAACCATCAGAGCACTGGACACCATGTGTTATGATTGAGACGATGTACATTGTGCACTAATGATTTTTTAACAACACCATATAGTATGAGCTGAAGATTTTACAAGGAATACATCAACATTTAAATTAACTTTATTTTCTGCCATCAAAATCTCATTTTGAAGTCTTCATGTTGGCAATATAATACAATAACAACCATTTTTCACTTGAAAATATCGCATTTTTGTTCTTATTCATACAGAGGTTCTGCAGAACAGAATAGCTTTTTTTATCGTGGGTTGGGTAATATGACCCTTCTGGGTGGAGTCAAGGTGTGCCAGGCTTCCCCTTTCTGACACCTTCTTTTCATAAAGTGGGAGCAAATCCAGTATAATCCCGGATGATCACCCAAAGGTTCAGTTTGATGGAAGGTAGGGTGTCAGGCATTTGTCAGAGGGTATGAGCTGCTGTGTTTATACCAGGTAAGTGCCAAAGGGAAGCACATTTGTACAAAAATACAATTACTCTAGAAAAGGTTATATCCTTCATTGTGCCTGGTTGTCTTGAACTGTATATCTTTCTTCACAAGGAGACATTTCATTATAAAGAAGTTGGATGACAAATTGAAAATCTGAATCTTCAATAAACCCCTAACAGAATTAGTGATAGGTTTTACTCTGTTTCCATGGGTCTTGTATGATCAAAAGTCAGTTACAAACTATTTAGAAAACAAACACACTTAAAATTACTGCAGAGGTGAAGACTGAGATTTAGCTGAACAAGGATGTGTACAGATCTACTGTAAACCAGGGTTTTGTTTTGACATTTGCTACACACTGCTCTCATCTTTGTCTCTTTCGCATTTGCTCTGTTTAACCTGGTCTGTTTCCCTCCCAGGCAAGCAGATTCCCCTTCCCTCCTTCTCACAGTGCATTGTTCCATTTTGTAACTTCCGCATGTCACCCAGGGCTAACTGAGAGGAGTTGAAGGCCAGAGGTGGGATGGTGTTCACCAGTATGAGTTGAAGAGGTTTTTTTTCTGGCTGATACTGGCAGCGAATATAGCGCATGAAAGCTGTGCGATAAGTTTTGTTAAAAAGTGTGTAGACCAGTGGGTTGACAGCTGAAGACAAATATCCAACCCAGACAAAAATATTCAGCAGACCCTCCATGACCTCTGGGTGGCAAATGTGGTGGTGGCACACAACCATCAATACATTGGTGATGAAAAATGGACACCACATGACTACAAAGAGGAAAAACACAACCCCCAGCACCTTTGATGCTTTCTGCTCATTGCTGATGGACTGCATAGTTCGCCTTCCGACCATCGCACCAGAGAAGCTGCACCGAGCACCATTGAGGCCACTGCTGCTTCCTCTTCCTCCAACCTCTTGGCTAATAGAGCGCCTGAACAGTTTATCAGATGAGACAGAGCTTTGAGGAAAGAAGCTTAGTGTGAAGGTGGTGCTCCATTTTGGTCTTGGAACAAGCCGGTCCAAGCAGAGTGTGGCCTCGTTCTGTAGGGCGCTGATGGTCAGGAAATACGTGACAATCATTATGATTAGAGGAACAAAGAAGGCAATGAAGGAGCCCACCAGTACGAAATTGTCATCTGTCAGCAGGCAGTTTCCATTTTTAAACACTTTAGAGTGGTCTCTGAGTCCTAACACAGGAATTGGCATTGATATCCCTGCAGAGAACAAAGAGATAGAAAAAATGTCAGAAAAATATTATGGTGCCTTGTTTCATTTGCAAACTTTTGACATAAAAACAATAAGATAACATAAATATCATTATTTGAGTGAAATCTTAACAAGGTTGATACTGAAGTCATGTCAAAAAGGACATCAATGAAATCATTACTTCACATACACCAGACTGATTTCAAAGGATTAATTTCAGGTTGATTTACATTTTTACCAAATTTTGCTGACAATTTTTTTTATCAGTGTTTGATTTAATATTAATGTTAGTTGACATATTTTGCTGACTTGGAGGACAGTTTGTTGTTTTTCCACTTAAAAGGAGCAACCTTCAAGAAATTCATATTTGAAAGTTTGATAAATTTGTTTGGATTTTTTCTCAGATTCTATTCATGTACCTTTTTCAATTAGATAATAAGATGTTTAAATGATTTAACTCTCATTCAGTTTCTTTACAAATTTCTTTGCATCACTGTTCTTTTTCTTTGGACTACCTTGTACCTCCAATTGCCATTTTCCATGTTTATGACCACTAAGTAGATGCTTTCCTCCTGTGTTGACCTTATGTGTTTTTGTCAGTGTATGGTTATCACACAACAACATACCTTCTATATATAAGGTGCACCATGTGTTGAATTCCATTGATTTATTAGTCGTTTTCAATCCTTTCGATACCATAGACATGACAGTAACCGAAAACTGACCACTATCATTGCATTCAAAACCTAAACCTCATGTAAACTAAATCCACAGTCCTAAACTTAAGCATGCGTTAAAAAGGAAGTGAGAACCAGCAAAATATCTTAGCTTTGGTACAAATCCTAAGATCTGAGAACTTGGGTTTCAGCCACACAGTGGATGCATTTAAAAGGTTTATTGTTGACCGAACAGGTCAAGAGTCAAGGCAGGGTCTGAGCAGACGGAATGATGGATGCTGGCTGGAAACAGGCTTTGAGTAGACAAAATGGAGGTGAAATGAAATAATGAGAGGCATAAAACGGACCAGATATGATCCGAGTCAGAAAACAATGGGAATTGAGAGTAGGCAGGGCAAGCACAGGAATGTGGGAAGATTGGCTGCACACACAGACACTGAATTGATATATATTTCTCTGTTTCTGAAAGCATAGTTTTATTTCATATAAGCACATAGACATATATCCTATGTCTATGTGCTGCCCTGTGATGGATAGGTAATGCAAACATGCATCTTGTCAGATGCATTTGCATCTTCTTTTAAACGTAAAATATTTCCTTTATAAGTTCAATCGGTTCAGTCTAAATTGTTGACTCTGCTCCTGGATTCTTATGCTCTAACTTAAACCAAGGTGAGTTTTGCTGGAGAGCAGAGCATATAAATAGACCAGCAGTTTTGATGGGAGTACAATTTTTTGGTAAGTAATTAGTTCAAAATGTAAGAGTTTTATCATGTTTTGACATTGAGGCAGCTTAGGTCAGCCAAATCTGTTCATATATATAAACAGATTATGTATATGTATATTCTACATATATTTTTTAATTATTTTAATAAGCCTATCCTCTACATAAATTTAATAGAGAAAGATACATACATAAACATAATCAGGCACAGTCCCGAATCACTTTTGTTTTTTTTAATGAAAGCCTACTGAGCATCATCATTGATTTCAGAAGAAACACCAAAGTATTTTTAGTAGGGGTTTTCAGGCTTCCCCACTAAATCCCAGATGGCAAGCTGATAGCTTAATATTCTCTGAATATGACACACAAGATAAGCTGCAGTAAACTTCACAGAAGTAAAAAAAAAAAAAAAAAAAGAATAGATAAAAGAAGATCACTGTTATAAGATGAGGTGAAGCACTTGGGAATTGGATAAAAGACAAGAGACGAGGAAATTGTAAAATTGAGGATTTCAGAAATCGTGAAATAGTCTGAAAACTTAAGCTATGTTTCACACAGCTTTCACAATTAGGTACATTTGATTTCAAAAGAACAATGTATGATACCTTTAGCCCTGAAGAAAAATCTGTAATAATTTTGAAAATATTTGAAAAATAATTAGCAGTCATTTTTGCAGGTGATACAAATCTAGAGCTTTGGCTTTATGCTATGATCATACTTTTTGGTGACCAACACATCAGCCTATTCACATTTGGTGTACTCTAACATTATATTGAAAATCTGTCTGCATTGGGTTTTTATGCAGGTCAAAGACAGATCAAGTTTGTTCAATGGCCATTAAAGACCTTAATCCTATTGAGAAAAAAATCATTAAGTGGAAAAAGTAAGTCTAGAATTGTAAATTTTTATAAATACATAATGCTGTCCTACTGATAAAGATAAAAAAGGATTAATAATTAATATTCATTTTCAGAATCGTTGATTGTAAAAATGACAGCGAAGTAAAACAAATTCAGTGTTTTTAAGATAAATAAGGTAAATACAAAATCATTACCACCATACCATTCTTCAACAGGGCTTCCCTTAAAGACAGCTGAAAAAAATTATAGATATGTTCATATTAATCTGTAAACACTTTGTATTTCATTATTAACTGTTCAATATGCATTGTTTACAAATACTAAAAACAATAATAAAAAAAATAGCAAGAGATTAAAATGATCAGTTTCTTGCCAAACGATGAGAGTAAGTTGTTCAAATATAGCGTTGCTTATATCAACATTCAGACTAAGTTACTACTTTAAAAGTAACATAGGCTCTTGATAAAATATCTGTTGAGCATGCATAATATATTGAATGCATAATAAACATTTATGAATGAAAGTGTTTACAGATTAATTGATAAGATATCTATAAACTAGTTATCAGCTGTAAGATAAAGCAGTGATCATTTTTTTTCCCCTCGCCAAAGCAGTTTTATTGCCTGAGGTGTTTGTGGTGTCATATTTTTATACATTCATATATGAGTATGAATTCACAGCATGCTTATTGTTGCTGTAATAAAAGGTGGTGATATTCCAGCTTGATATTGGTCTTAAGTGCTTTTCATGTGACATTTCTATGAGCCAATGAGTTTTGGAAGTTATTAGATGATCTATCAAAGGGAGAGTTGCTCTATGATAAAACATAAAAGTTAAAAACGTTATGCCTCAGCATAGTTTGGAGTGTATATATATTTTTCTGTACAGAGGCTCTTAAATATTTACATAACCCGGGTTGTATGATACATCTCTGTAGTAAAAACTGACACTATATAAACCATTTCTGCCATTTATCTTAAACAATCTACTTCAACAACAATTAAGTATGCTAGATGGACAACAAAATTGAATAACCTTGTTGCAAGAGTGTTCACATCCTTAAATGAATATTGTAAAGCACTTTCATTATTTTAGATTATTCTAGAATTAGACAAACTTGCTCAGTGGCACAGTGGGTGGCACTGCTGCCTTGCAGCAAGAAGGTTCTGGGTTCAATTCCTGGCCCAGGGTCTTT